TAGTGTCATAAGTTCTAGTCATCATAGCAATAAGCAGATTAAACTGCAGGACTGATACTCCAAGCTCGAATATGACGAAAACAATCTACAAAATAAATTATTTTGCGATATATTGCATCGCAATTGATTGCGGGCCTTTCCGATTCCATTCATAATTTTCGCTGGACATAGTGCCAGATTCCTGTAGAGCACAGTGAATTCGCCTATAGTCAAGATGAAAGTACGAATAAATGCCTCCACAGGGTTTTGAATGACATTTTGGAATTCCCCTTGTTTTCCGCGTTTGTCATGTTCACGTTCGCAACTGAGGAACACTAAGTAGAACGCTGAATTAGATAAAATAAAGGAGATGTTTGCAAAAAAAGCTTGGTAGCGCATACCTTGAGAAAAGCCCATAAGAAAGATGCCGTAAATTAGTAAAAATCGTCTAATATCAGTGGCAATGATTTTGTATACCATCAAAACGAATGGGCCCACGAATTTGATAGCTCTGAAATGTCGGATAGCTAAAGCTGCACACACGTCCCCCGTCTCAGCGCTGCGCTAGCGCCATTAATCGATCAATGGAGAAGACATGCGTAAGCGCTGCACGGCGCTGGCACAGCCTGGCACGGCACTGGCACGCATCAACTCCAATAGATGACATTACTTAGATGTTTCCTACCTGCAGTAGTAGAGGAAATGCACAGTGGTGCATATGATAACCAGCGTTGACATTACATTATCGACAACAAGAAGAATTGGATGCATACTACAAGCTGCTCTGATAGGAACTATTAGCAGGACCAGTATAAATGAGAACTTGCACGCTACTTTTTCAGGGAATTCCTTCTGAAAAAAAGAGATAATGATTTTTCACCCTGAATTTTATCCAGGGGTGATTTGGTAACTATCAAATAAATATCATAACTCAATACATAATATCGCTTTTGAGTAACTGCGATCGTCTTCTCCATACGAAAGTGAGTGTTGATAGCAAATGAAGGAACAACTTACATGGATTGCCCACCACTTCTTTCGTCCTATCCT